AAATAAAATCTTAAAAAAAAAAAAAAAAAGAAGCATGCTGGAGATTCAAAGTGAGAGTATTTCATTGTGTAGTGCATGTTTTTTAAGTGAATAAAATCGAGGTAACAGCAGTGCTGACACGGTGTGAACTCCAGGTTGGAAAAGTGCTCAGCTGGAAACATGATCTGCTTGTCTTTCTCTGTCCCAGGCAGTTACAGTGACATTGCCCCTTTCATAGTCTTTATTCGGCTGGCGGGTTTCACTGGAAATCCGGTGGGAAAAACCCAGAGATCTCCCCGTACTGGGGAACTGCTTCCTGCTTCGGGGGCCTCCCACTTCACCCTTCAGAGCCGAGTACGTGTTTACTCAGGATCTCAAACACCACAGAGCAAGAAGCCGAATTATTTCCTTCATTGAGATCCTGGCCTGGGGTTTGATTCTGTCCTTGGCATGGGCTTCGCTTGTCTGGGCCATTTACAAGTCCTCATGGTCAAGAACACCTTCCTCCTTCCCAGGGCAGGCGCTGGTGACGGGGGGCAGCATTTGGGTAGTCAGAGTGCAGAGTGAGCGGTGGGAGGGGCCAGGGCTGAAAACCAAGAGGGCTCAGCTTCCAGTTTAACTGGGGCCTTTGGCCTGGTAACTTAACTTCTCCCAGTTACCCAATCTTTGCAGTGCATTTAAGAATTCAACTTGGCGGGGCGCCTGGGTGGCTCAGTCGGTTAAGCGTCAACCTTCAGCTCAGGTCATGATCCCAGGGTCCTGGGATTGAGCCGCGCATCGGGCTCCCTGCTCAGTGGGGAGCCTGCTTCTCCCTCTCCCTCTGCCCCTACCCCTGCTCGGGCTCTCTCTCTCAAATAAATAAATTAAAATCTTAAAAAAAAAAAAAGAATTCAACTTTTGACTCTGTCACTTACCCTTTCTAGGCCTCCACCATCAGATATATAGCATGAAACAGCATGAACAATGCCAACCCTGCCGAGAAGTCATCAGAAATAACACCATATTTGGAAACATCATGTAAAGGCCTCATAGATCAACCTAGTGGCACACATTTTATGGGAATTCACCACCTCTTCCCAGTGGTAATTGCTTCTGACTGTGCACCAGGAAGTTGAGCAACGTCAGTCTGGTCAAGAGCGCCTCATATAATAGATGTAACAATCCTACAAGTAATTAAGGCTTCCCCAGCCATTTCCTTGCTTATGAACTGAGAAACCACTTACAGAGTTGGATTGGAATGGAGCGCACGTCTGGGGACGGGGAGGGGCTTGTAGGAGATGAAAGGCAGGGCACCCGGGCTGTTGATGGGAACCGGGAGAGATGTTCCATGTTCCTAGCTGAAACTGAAGGTGAGGACGCGGTCGCCAGAGGCAGCTTCTCCCACACCACCATTTTTCAGGGAACTTTGACACTGAAATAATCTCAGGGTCATTCAGCACGTGGATGCCACCAGGGGCAAGCAAAATAATGACAACAAGGACCATAGCAAGCGCCACAATAAGACCTAACATGTCTCATGTCCCAGACACTTGCCCAGTGCTTCCTCTGCATCAACTCCCTTTGCCCTTTCTGTAACAGGGTCCTATTAACCCCCCATTTTATGGATGAAATAAGTAAAATTGAAAGGCTTGACAATCTCCCAAGGTCATAGCTAAGACGTGGCAGTGGGGGGACACACATCTCCCGTCTATCTGACTCTCCACCACTCTAAATCAACACACTAAATGAATAGAATTGTCCACGGTGCCAAGAAGTGGCTCCCATGTGTTTGGTCCTGGTTGTCTAGGTTTCTGATTGTCCATATTTACCCGTTTCTATGTGACTTCCAGTAGGATTGAGCTCATTGGCCTGGTACCTAGTAACCTGATGTTGACTGGACTTCTGGTCTCCCTAAGGATGGGTGAACCACTTCCCGTCTCCAATACATGCAGCCTCAGCCTTAGAGAGGGGCTAAAGTGGCTCAGTTGTAGCCAATGATTTGAGAGTTGAGGTTTCTCTTGCATTCACTTGGTCTGCAGAAGTTCACTGGGGCGCTTACTCTGCGCCTCTGTTTCTGGGCCCCGGGGGGGAGGGGGAAGCTGCCCTGTGGAGATGCCATCGCTCAGTTACTTACCATGGTGCCAGTATATTCTTCCAGCTTAGCCTCAGAAATGGCCTTTTCGTGGTGGAGGAAGAGGTCTCGGAGGAAGTTCTGTGACATCAAGAGAAGAGCCACATCTTATATGGGAAGATCTCGGGGGGCCTTACTTCAAAGATTGTGGTTCATTTTTTTTTTTTTTACAGAGAAAATAAAATGCTTTTAGCAAGCAATAAATCCAAGAATGGGGAGGGCTGTCCCTGCTTAAAGGGAGCTCATAGAACCCAGAGAATAGCTCCAGGCACGGAAAAAGTGTCAAAAATCCTCAATTATGTGTCTTTCCTAGAGAGAGCAATAACACCTGTACTTTCTAAACCTCTTAAACACAAATACTTTTTTTTTTTTTAAGTAACACATTCAAACCCATGTTTCTTGGGCCCACAGAAATGAAATTCACGATCCATGTACATCAAAGCCCCTCCCCCCAGCGAGAGCCCCCAGCCCCTCCCCCCCAGCGAGAGCCCCCAGCAACACGTACCCGCAGCTCAGCAGCTGATACAAAGCCACTGCTGTCTGCATCGTATTTGCGCCAAATCTGAAACACACGAAAGCCAGGCATCCATTTATAAATCCATCAGCCGTGCAAACAAGCACACACCCAGGGAGGTCACGCAGGACCGACACCGGACTCTGTCCCGGGTCCGTGCGCTGACGCTGAGAATGTAGCCTGCAGCTTCATCAGGAAATTGCACACAAGGTGGACAGGAGGCAAATCCTGGGGCCCAGGCAAAGGTGGAAGCTGTCAACTTGAGGCACCTGCCTAAAACTAAAACCCTTAGTGAAAGGGTGAACCCCTCCAAAATAAACTGTGCTTCCGGAAGGCCCTAAGGAATCTTCCCTGCGTGGCCTTGGTTCTGGGTAAAGGGAATAAAGCATCCTGGGTAATTCCCAGAGACAAGACGAGCCTTTCGTTGGTTTTAGGGTTTAAGGGCAGCATTCATCCAGCTAAGATACGATTACCAAACTGGAAGACAGAACAACTGAACACTTTTACAGAGACACTGAACTGCTTTCTCTAATAAGTGGTGTGATTTGGACCACCTCGGATTATTCCATGTGTAAGCCTCACGGGTTGGCGAGTTCTCGAACTCCGGTACAGAATCAAAAAGTAGGGCGCCTGGGTGGCTCAGTTGGTTAAGCGACTGCCTTCGGCTCAGGTCATGATCCTGGAGTCCCAGGATCGAGTCCCGCATCGGGCTCCCCACTCAGCGGGGAGTCTGCTTCTCC